TTCTTCGGTCATTTCATTATCTTTCAAAGTTTTGGGGTCTTTACGTGTAGCAAAGTATTCTTGAATTACAAATGCAGTTTTCATATGTGAAACCCATCGATGGTACTCAAATCCTTGTGAGTCTAAAATGTCAAAATCAGGTCGAGTCGGATGAGACATTGCTAAATAAAAAAACAAAATACCCATTAGTGCATTGTTCATATTAAGAGAAGTTTGAACGGTTGGTATTTTCTTTATATTATATTTGCTTTTGTGATTTACTTTTCACAGGAGAAAAAAAATTATGCTTTTAAGTGCGACATGTCACAGAAAGCACGTGGATTTCATCCCACTAAAAATAAATTTAAAAAAATAATAATAAAATATAAGTTTACAATCAAACTCTTTAAAAAAAGGCATTTGAATTTGTTTGGTGTCTTCACTTGAAGATCCTAGACAAATCTTTCTCTCTTTTTTTTAAAAAAAAAATTACAAATGAGTGTGACGTATTCTATTTTTCACAAAATTTGTTTCAACTCAAGAATCCAATAGTATAACTCAATTGCTTTTGAGTACAAAATTGTGAAACTTATAAATCAGGTTGGCTCAACCAACTCAAATAAAACAAGTAATATAAATAAAATGCACCATCATAGAGCAATGAATATTTATAAATATCGGGGGTGGGTTACGTAACTTACTTACGTTCCAAGATCAAAAAAAATTTCAAAATTTATGCAAGAATTCTTCATCGCACAATTTAGTGAAAAACATTTGTTTTAAATGCATGAATTTTCATTATCATACTCTTAATGTGAACAAAATGGTTAATTTTTCTTTTATATACAGTTAAATAAGTTGACCACGAGACATATGAGTAACAACTCAAACAATGAAACTCAATTACTTCCAAGTGCAAAATGATATACGGAGTATTTGGGTAAAACAAAATAACCCCAGCATGGAGACTTTCACAAAAAAATTAATTTTGAACAATGGATATTATTTTGTGACAAAGATGCATGTTCGTCACATGTTTAAAATAATATATTCCATGTGTATATAATACGAGTATCAAGGTAGTGGAAGTAATTTTTTTTTTTTGTATTAATGAAAAAAAATGTTTATTTTTTTTCAAGTGAACTAAATAAAAACATTTACCACAACTAAAAAAATCAAAGCCAACTAAATAACACACGCACAATTGACAGTCAATAAATAAAATTCACTCCGTATTGACTAGTCTTAAAAATTAGGGGAAAAAATGGCATTATGTTGATATTGAAATCACACATGGTGAGTGGGTGATAATAAACAATGACTTTTTTGTGAACATGAAATCATCGAAATGAAGTTTATGCATAGCAGAAGGCATCAAAGGAGAGATTTCATAAGCAAGTATACCAATTTTGCAAATTGTAAAACCATTGAAAAACATATACGAGTTGTAAATATCTTGAAACAAAGCATATCCGACGGATGGATGAGTGAAATACCTGAATTGTAAGAGTTCAATTTATACTCATTGCGGGCTGTTGAATGAAAGGGTAGGGCTTGGGAGCGGGATTCGTGGCAAGCAGATGAAGTCGAGATAGAACTCCCGTGGGATGACTCTTTGTTCATAGCGGTAGAAATTGAGCGGCGATCTGTGCGGCGGCGGAGGAGATGAATAAAGGTGTGTGCCGATCTGTGCGGCGAGAGGGGAAAGAGTGGCGATCTGTGCGACGGAGGAGGAGAAAAGGTCGGGCGGCTAACTGTGCGGCGGAGGAGGAGAAAGGGCGGCCAAGGGAGATTAGGGTTAGAACTCGTGCTGATAATGTGTTGAAGGGAGACTCTCTTCTCTTACTTTTTCATTGCCCAACGTCTCTAGATATGAGACCGGATTAGGGTTTATAGTTAAAGCCCAATGGGCCCACAATACATAAACTACAAAGTACAATCCATAATACATATTGTATCTACACGATAGCACACCATTTGCAGTTCCCTTTAACAAAAGAAAGAAAAAACTAACGGTCCAGTTCTAGTGACACCGGAGAACGGTGCCACTCCGGTGCCACTGGTTTTGTGGGGCACCTCCGTTGCTTCGTTCGTAAAATTGACGGTTCCTACCCCCCCTAACCCACCCCTTAAACCCCCCACTCTACCCCCACCCATGCACCCCCACCCCAATCCCGCCGTAAGCCCCCCACAAAATGTGTGGCTATTATGCAATGCATTTTTTAATGGGCATTAAATGGACCAACTAGGATATATTTGTCAATAGGTCAACTAGCGGTTTTAATCGTTAATTAATGGACGTATTTTCTCTTAAATGAGATAAATGTTTTGACAAATATTATGCCAAAAATGGTAGAGGATGAATGAGAAATTGATTATCAGAGTTAACCCGTTAATAAAAGAATATGGTGAGTATTGCAATTTTTGCAATTTTACTGAACCAATCTTCTTTTATTAATTTTACGTATTGTTTAAAATGAGTCCATCTTACGGAGTTAACTGGTCATTATTCTCCAATTATTCGAGACAAATTTTAAACGGAGCGTAGCGTAATGGACGTGTTAATGGCTAATTAATCACCATTAACACACCACAAATGCCATGATTAATTCCAATGGTTAATGGTGAGAGTTACATTTTTCCTAAACTCCTTAATTATAAAATCAAAGCTCACTTCATCATTTCTTGTGGTGCTTCACGTGAGAAACAAAAAGAAAAAGAAAGAAAATCTTTCTTGTTTATTTTTTTTGAGAGAGCTCTTGGTTTCCGGCCAAATTTCTGGCAATTCCCTTCAAAGTTTTTTGGTCGCCAACGTTCCTACGTTGTTTTTGTTCGTTGGTGTATGGTTGGTCCGTACATCTCCACACATGATAGCGGTTTTATCCTGGGAGGAGAGTGCCCACGTTTTTCCAGTACGGTAGGCGGGCACTACTACCTTAAGGACAGCTCTGGCGACTCCGCTATCCTTCACGGTGTTTTGTTTTGCAGATTTAGTTCATAAAGACCTCGCTGCATTCTGCCCTAGTGCATAATGTCCTCGCAGCCCAGTGCATAATGTCCTTGCTGTCCAGTGCATAATGTCCTCAATGTCCAGTGCTTAATGTCCTCATACAACAAGGCTGTTTGAAGATATATAAATTTATTTTCAATTCTGTTTATCTTGTAATATTCTGAATAAGTTATAAATTCATAATTTTATTTATTTTTATTTTCCGAGGCAGTTCATCTTCCCCGTTCGTTGTAATCCGTATAAAAATTGTAACAATCTTAAGGTAGTAGTGATATCCGTGCGCAATGGCGGGTATGGACGGATTTGGTTTTGACGCTCACACCGGAAACGGGAGTAGTTCCGAGACTCCGGTTGTGAACGTTTCGGCTGGATTGGGTGGCTCTGTAGGGCAGACCACTCCGATCAACATTCCTTTCAGATCGAGTGCGGCCATGGGGTCCACTCCAATCACCACCTTCGTTGGATCGAGCGCGACTATGAGGTCCGCTCTGGTCACCTCGGTATTGGACCAACCGCGGCTACGGCCGCAATGGTCACCCCACTCGGACCGAATATGGCTTCGCCCATACCGGTCATTCCCTCACTTGGACCGAACACGGGTGTCTTCACATCCGCACTGGTCGGACATCCTACTGTTATGCTGCATGCGAACTCTGTCAAAGAACCGGCAAAATTCACAGGTGTTGGTTTTAAAATATGGCAGCAAAGGATGTTATTTTGGCTGACCACCCTCAACCTTGTGAGGTACTTGAGGGAGGATCCCCCTGTTGTGGGGGAGAACGCAGACGAGCCAACAGTTCAGGCCAATTTAATGGAGCATCCACTCGAAGAGGGTTCTTCCAAAGGGCCTATGCCAAACAAAGACAAGAAGAAAGTTGGTCCTAAAGGAGGCTATTTTATCTAGCAATTATTTGTTAAATAAAATACCCTGAAAAAAAACTCGTTAAGACTCCTTACGAGTTGTGGTGTAATAGGAAACTTTCCTATAAATACCTGAAAGTGTGGGGGTGCCTTGCAAAAGTTTTAACACCACCACCAAAGGAAATAAAGATTGGTCCAAAGACCATTGATGGAATCTTTATTGGCTAGAGTGGTAGCGCGTATCGATTCTTAGTGTATAGGCCTGATGATTCAGAAATACATAAGAACACGTGCAAAGAGTAACATGTATAATGGTAAGTCTAGACATATTCGTTGTAGACACAAAACCATTAGACAACTTCTCACAACTGGGATTATCACAATTGACTATGTGAAGTCAAAAGATAATCTGGCGGATCCGCTAACCAAAGGGTTAACAATTCAGTTGCATGAGAAGTTGGTGGCAGGAATGGGTTTGAAGCCCTTGTGCTAGGATAGTCCTATGAAGGAAAACCCAACCTGGCTGGTACCCAGGTTCAATGGGACAACCTACTTATAGGATTAAGCATGGTCACTGTGGGGGCGATACTGGAACCTCCGGTCAGTCCCTTCTGTTCCTGCTGAAGACAATGACTCCTGAAAATGATGACGCTAACATATAAATATGCTTTAATGATTCTTAATCAATAGACACGGTGGTCTAAGTGGAGTAATCGGGATACTCTTAAAGAATCATCTATGTAAGAGTGAAGTGTGGTCGCTTCAAACGGAGGATCTTGGGCTTAATCCTCTAAACACTCTTGCAGAACCAGGCGCGTGTCCCACGACCAAAATGGGCACAACCATGAGAACAGAATGACGTTTGGTTGGAATTTGTGTATTGTATACTATCGTTTACACAAGCAACAGTACAGTTCAAAGACATCGCGTTCTACTAAACAGTCAGTAAAGAAGGTATACTTTACAAGGGACATGTTCAAAAGTGGAGACACTTACATGTTCTATGCAGATTTTCAATCGTGGGATGTTGTCGACCCCAAATCAATTTTTCATTCATGTGGGGGATTGTTGGAATTTTTGGCATTTTTAATAGGCATTAAATGGACCAACTAAGGTATATTTGTCAATAGGTCCACTAACAGTTTTAATCGTTAATTAATGGACGTGTTTTCTCTTAAATGAGATAAATGTTTTGACAAATATTACGCCAAAAATGGTAGAGGGTGAATGAGAAATTGATTCTCAGAGTTAACCCGTTAATAAAAGAATATGGTGAAGATTGCAATTTTTGCAATTTTACTGAACCAATCTTCTTTTATTAATTTTACGTATTGTTTAAAATTAGTCCATCTTACGGAGTTAACTGGCCATTATTCTCCAATTATTTGGGGCAAGTTTTAAACAGAGCGTAACGTAACGGATGTGTTAATGGCTAATTAATCACCATTAACACACCACAAATGCCATGATTAATTCCAATGGTTAATGGTGAGAGTTACATTTTTCCTAAACTTCTTAATTATAAAATCAAAGCTCACTCCATCATTTCTTGTGGTGCTTCACGTGAGAAACAAAAAGAAAAAGAAAGAAAATCTTTCTTGTTTATTTTTTTTTGAGAGAGTTCTTGGTTTTCCGGCCAAATTTTCGGCAATTCCCTTCAAAGTTTTTTGGTCGCCAACGTTCCTACGTTGTTTTTGTTCGTTGGTGTGTGGTTGGTCCGTACATCTCCACACACGATATCGGTTTTATCTTGGGAGGAGTGTGCCCACGTTTTTCCGGTACGGTAGGCGGACACTACTACCTTAGGGTGTAACACCCCGGCCCCCACACTGGTCGTAAGTGTTCGCTCATAGGATTGTAGAATGACCCCACAAACCAACACAAGCCTTTCCCGCACACTTTGTCCTCACTCGTGCGCGCCCAAGGAATTTCCCAGGGAGTCACCCATCCTAAAATTGCTCCAGGTCAAGCACGCTTAACTTTGGAGTTTCTAGGTGATGAGCTCCCGAAAAGAAGATGCACCTTGTTGGTATGAGTAGTACTATCAATCCTTTTGAGCCCTTCCATTCCCATCTTGATACGGGGTATTACATTCACCCACTTAGGAATGCAACGTCCTCGTTGCATCCTATTTTTTTAAACCCATAGATCTTCCCCGCTAGGTGAACTAAGCTCTTTTTGGCTCGTCACGGTCGCAGGGTTGCTCTGATACCATTTGTAACACCCCGGCCCCCACACTGGCCGTAAGTGTTCGTTCATAGGATTGTAGACTGACCCCACAAACCAACACAAGCCTTTCCTGGCACTTTGTCCTCACTCGTGCGCGCCCAAGGAATTTTCCAAGGGTCACCCATCTTAAAATTGCTCCAGGTCAAGCACGCTTAACTTTGGAGTTTCTAGGTGATGAGCTCCCGAAAAGAAGATGCACCTTGTTGGTATGAGTAGTACTATCAATCCTTTTGAGCCCTCCCATTCCCATCTTGATACGGGGTATTACATAAGGACAGCTCCGGCGACTCCGCTGTCCTTCACGGTGTTTTGTTTTGCAGGTTTAGTTCATAAAGACCTCCCTGCATTCTGCCCTAGTGCATAATGTCCTCGCAGCCCAGTGCATAATGTCCTTGCTGTCCAGTGCATAATGTCATCGATGTCCAGTGCTTAATGTCCTCATACAACAAGACTGTTTGAAGATAAATAAATTTATTTTCAATTCTGTTTATCTTGTAATATTCTGAATAAGTTATAAATTCAGAATTTTATTTATTTTTATTTTTCGAGGCCGTTCATCTTCCCCGTCCGTTGTAATCCGAATAAAAATTGTAACAGAAACTTCCTTCCATTTATGAGAAAAATCATCATGGAAAATGAAGCGATATATTTCAAATACAATATGGAGTACTTTTTTTTGAAGGGATCCGAAACATAATATATTCATTCACTCATTTATTTTCAACTTTAATTTTCTTTCAATCCTTAGTTTTCTCTCACCCAAAACAAGGGGAAGAGATAATCCATGCATACTTGACAAGTTTTGAAGTTTACATTTATTTCTCGATAGCGTTATAAATGATAATTTTTAGCATTATATTTTTTAAATTAATTTCCTCACAAAAAAACCATTAGAATACTAAGTTACTAACCATAAAAATTATTCTCAAACGAAGTCATACTCTCACCCCATTGAAAATATACTTTGAAAGTTCAATGCAAAATAAATCTAAAGATATCATTTGTATACTAGCATTACATTTTTTATTACCGGTGCAATTGACATAGGTGAGGGATGAGTTTGGGTCGGGACTTGGCGGGGGGTTTACCGGGGGATTAGGAGGGGTAGAAATCATCAATTTTATGAACGGAGCTCTGTAAGGAGACAGTGGCTTCCGTGGCCACCGGAATGCAATGGCCATGGAACCAGGCCATTTTTATTATTGATAACTAAAATTTGTCCAATTTCTTTTAAAAAAAAATGAAACAGGATCAACACTTTAGACTGGTGATAAGATATTTTCATAAGAAAAAATTATCTTCAATTATCCAACTTTTTCAAGTTTTTATAAAAATAATCTTACTTTTGACTATCACAAGAATTAATATCATCTTTCCGCACATGTCTAAATTTTGGATCGCCGTTAAAAAACTAACAGTCACTTAATAAAACTTTTGTAAAATGCTTGTTCTTTGCAAATAAATGAAAGGTGATAATACACTCTTGTTAAAGATTTATCTCATTTTTTTAAATATTACTCCTTCCGTTGCATACAATATTACTCATTTTGAATAATAGAAAATACAATGGTAAAGGAATAAGCAATAAGGCCATGTTCTTCTCGACTTATTTTTTACTTACTATTTATTTTTGTTAGAATGAGACAAATCATATTATATCAAAAATAGTTCTAAATATAATTATATTCAAATGAGGTCAGAGTAGACTAGATTAGATCAGAAATTATTTTAATCAGATTAGACAAAGAGAACATGACCTAAGTAGAAGAAATAAGTTTAAGAGAACGATATCGTAGATTGTTCAATTAAAATTTTAATTGAATACCTATAGACTTTTAAAATATAAATTTGAATATAACTTACTTTTTCAGTTGGTTGTTTATTTTTATTAAAATCAGATAAGATTCGATGAAATAAGACTCCGTATAATTTAATCAAGTTAAATGAGGCTAGATCAAAAATTGACTTAAATATGATCACGATCTCTATCTATACAATGGTGTGAGGAGGATTTCTACAGTGTTCCCGCCATAAAGTAATGGGCCGATTCTCTGTTATTGGGCTGCTATCCCTGGGCCTAAAATTAATCCTACAAAGTCTCTTGAGCTCCTGTCCCTGGCCGAAAGGTAATCTGCCAATGCAAAGTCTCTTTATAGGGCTACAGTATAGGGCTGGCGTGGTGTTGGGCTCAATGCAATTACTTTATGTCTATTCAATTTAGTTTTTCCATAAAGTTGCATTAGGGAACAAAAATTTAGTGGTTCCATAAAGTCATTTTTAGTGATTCCATCGGAAAAAAAATTGAATGACTCCATAAAGTAGATGAAAAAGTAACTTTGTGTCAAATCCAACATTATATCTCATACCAATCTCACAAATCATGATAGTATATATAATAGACCATTCTCTGATTCACCAACACCTCATGTTCCCACTTTTCAATTTCTCATTCAATCTTTCTATTTCTCATTGAGCATCTAGCTCTCCACAACAATGATGTTTCCTTCTTTACATTTTACACACACACACATATTGTAGCCATATACCACATGTGTGTGTGTGTGTATATATATATATATATATGTATGTATGTAGATAAAATTACAATAGAGGCTCAGATTTTTTAATCCAGTTTTAAGTTTGAAGCAATATAAGAAACAAAATCACCATGGCTGCAACAACGGGGGTTAATTCCGTTACGCCACGCCAAGATACATTCGTTTTTTATGCCTCAAACATTAAAATCCTAAAAATTCACCATAACATATTTCAGTCCTTCCATATCATCAGTCATATATTTAGGCACACACACCGATGTTGGGACCTGTATTACGTTAATACGGAGTAATAATTATATATATAATATAATATATAAAATAAGTATATGTATATTAATTCCCTGGAACAACAAGGCGAGTGATATATATATATATACATATATATATATATATATATATTCAAAGAACTAAAAGATATCTGATGATATACATATACATATACGAAATGTAAATTGAGGGGAACCGCAAGGCAAAACTGAATATATATATATATATATATATATATATATATATATATATATATATATATTCAAAGAACTAGGAGTGAAATGAAATGGAAGAAGATATCTGATGATATACATATACATATACGAAATATAAATTGAGGGGAACCACAAGGCAAAACTGAATATGTGTGTGTGTGTGTGTGTATAAACATCGGATTAAAACGAGAAAAAAATATTAAACATGGGGAGCATGAGAAAAAATATAAGAAAACAAGTGGAAATTAAATCCAAATAAATTGTGTAAATTAAAATGAGAAAAAAATATAAGAAAACAAGTGGAAATTAAATAAATAAATTCAGTGACAAATCGATGAGCACAAGATAGAAAATTCAATAAACACTCCAACCACACATTTCCACTATATACTTATGTGACTTTACTCCTATCTCTTCACTTTTTATTCTATTTTTATTCCAAAATAAATTTTTTTACATCTGTTTTATCAAATATAATTAATATATAACAGATTTTTGATTATTAATTTTCAAAAAAAATAATATAATCGGATCTTTAAACAACAAGTTATGATACACACTCACACACAAAATCGGATCTTTGATTATTTGTTTAAAAAAAAACGAGTTAAGTGAGAAAGAAAGAATTTGTAAAAAGATATGAGGGAAAGATCCATAGAAATAAAAATCTTACATGCATAAACGAAGATCTATTGAAAATCATCATGGCTTTCCGGGAGCGTAGACACAGAGGGGGAGAGACGGAGACAGAGAGGGAGTGACAGTGAGGGAGAGACCGAGACAGCGACGGCTTTCCGGCGGCGTAGAGACAGAGATGGAGAGACCGAGACAAGCGAGAGGCGGAAATGGAGTGAGCGAGAGAGATCCAGTTTGGGTAGGTTAGAATATATTTAGGGTTTTATTACTGGGCTGGGTTGAAGGGTAGTAGTGGGCTGGATTTATACAATTGGGCTGAGGTATAGTTTAAAATAATTTTTTGTAAGGGTCTTAATAAATGGGCTGATGGGTTTGAGTATATTTAATTCCGACCCAATTTAATCGGGTTGGTTGCGGTCAAATAGGACCATGTTTTTGTTATTTTATTTAACATGTTTAAAAACTTATATTAATAAAATTCTATTAAAAATAATATATTTTTATAAATTATAAGTTATTAATGCAGGAATTGGAACTTTTGTGAGTTCATATTACACGTGCAAAAGTAATCGAGACTCTGATTTTATGGAAAAATGTTGAATATGTTTTAGCATATGTGGTCATCTATCGTGCTTACAAATTGGTGACGTGGAACGAGAATTATTTTTTGTTTGTGATGATTGTGCAATAGCGACACCACTTGCACCGCAACGATTTGAACGGGTTAAAATTTCAAACAAAAAATATTTTAACAATCATTATGTTCTTAATTGGATATTTCACTATACTGCTTTTAAGCGTGAATGTTAGCTTTTTTGTAAGGTACAAAAAATGTTGGAAAGTATTATATATATAATGTATCTTGCATGCTTTTTAATGAATTTTTAGAATGTTAACTATTTGTATGTCTATTATGATTATAATGAATGTTAATTTTTTGTTATGAAATTCCAAATTTAGAAAGATAAATATTACTCCGTAGTAATTTATCATTCTCTACGCTTACAAGAAATGGATAACATATTTGATTTTATTGTTAACATTTGGAAAAATTACCCAAAATAATCTCAACTTTACCCGGTTTTTCTAAAATAAACCCACCTTTCACTGTGATGCATAATAATCCCAACTTTATTGAAATTTGCCAGTTTTGGGTCGCCGTTAAACGGAGGGTTAACGGAAATGCCCGTTTTAGACAACAAAATGAAAGTTGGGATTATTTTTGATGAATTTTTGTTTTTTAATTTTTTTTGAAATTTTTATTTAAATTTTTTGAATTACTTTCAACCTCCATTTCTTTTTCTTTTTTAAAGATTATTCTATGGAATCTTTTTTTATCTATATTTTTTATTACTTTTACTCTAAAATAACTAAAACCACACAAAATTAATCAAATAAATAATGTAATCAATAGAAATTAAATAGAAACTGGTAAGAAATAAAATAAATATATACGGAGTGGTGGGTTTTAATATTTTACACATTATACGGGGTCTTAATGTACTACTTATTTTTTAAAAAAACAAGCCGTCCGGTAAAGTTGGAATTATTTTAGATAATTTTTTCTAAAAAATAAGAAGTGATATGTTAATACTTTGTATAATGCGTAAAATATTAAAACCCACCCGTATATTTTTATTTTACTTTTACCAATTTCAAGTTAGTTTCCATTGATTACCTTATTTATTTTATTATTTTTGTATAATTTTAGTTACATATCTCATTTTTTTCATTTTTATATCTATTATTTTTATTTTTTAAACTAAGACTAATCTTTAAAAAAAGAAAAAGAAATGATGATGAAGGTAGAAAGTAATTAAAAAAATTAAATGAAAAATTTAAAAAAAAATAAAAAAAATGAAAATTCATCAAAAATAATCCCAACTTTCATTTTGTTGCCTAAAACGGGCATTTCCGTTAACCCTCCGTTAGAAACTTAACGGCGACCCAAAACTGGCAAATTTCCGTAAAGTTGGGATTATTATGCATCACAGTAAAAGGTGAGATTATTTTTGAAAGACCGGGTAAAGTTGGGATTATTTTGGGTAATTTTTCCTTAACTTTTTAAGTAAAACATCATAATCCTTTTGTCTCATTTCAAATTGCTTCTTTTGTTTTTTGTTCGTCTCAAAATAAATTGTTTATTTTCTTAAAATAATAAAATTTTAAGGGTAAAATATTCTAAATTTAAAATGATAAATATTAGCAATGTATCATTTTTCTACAAATGTAGTTTATAAAGTATTCTAAAACTTTCAACACTTCATATCCACTTTGGTCATTATTGTATAGAATTTCGTTTTGGGGGGAATTATATTAAATTATGTACTTTTTCAAATTTTGTAACATTTTCTATTATTCCAAACATTCACTAATTATATATTCCCTCCGTCCTATAATGATCTTCTCGGTTCGTAAAACGAAGAAAAATCTCAAGTTCTTTCAATCTATTTTATTTAAATATTGGTATAGAAATAAAAAATAAAACATACATATTTAAAAATTACATCAAAAGTTCAACAAAACAAGTGGTGACAAGAATATTTTATTTTATCTTATAGACCATGAAAAAACATAAATAAATATAAATTTCCGTGAAGTTGAAATAGTGCTCTGGAAAGATCATTATAGGACGAAGGGAGTATAAATTAACCGCTCGTGCATCGCACGGGTACGAGTCTAGTTAGATCAAATTCACAAGACATCCTTGGAAATTTTAAATACCCTAGTAACCCTGTGTATAAAATAAACTCAAAATATCTCATACCATAACTTCGATTCGGGTTTCATCCTAGGGTTTTTTGGGGAGCTCTGAACGTAAAGTTGCAGGAAGATGAGGAAGTTGAAGCCGCATGAGCGGAAGCTGCTGAAGAGGGCGAACCTTTTTGTCTGGGATAGAGAAAATGGCCATCGAGAAGGTCTGGTCATGCAGCGCTACCGCCTGGTAGAGAGAGACGACTACAAGAAGTATTAAAATCCGAAACTTCATCTCCTTCCCCGCAGGCGTTTTTAATTTTCTCGAAGGAAAATTACTAATCAGTGACATCACTGTAGTTATTAGATGATACGGAGAGTGTATTTGCCCCAATTGTTTGTTTATTCAATTGATTTTATTTTGGTGAAATTAGGTATTCGAGATTGTGTAGAGAGACCCAGAAGCTGGTGAATATTCTGAAGCAGATGGACGCAGGAGATCCTTTTCGGATTGAGATGACTGATGCCCTGCTTGAGAAGCTGTAAGATTTTCATTTTTGTCTTTCTTTAGCTTAGTTCAAGTTAAAGTTTCCATCTAGGTTTAGGTTAGCCTCAGAACATGTTAATCACTCTCTTGAATTTTTATCTTCCTTTAAATTCAAAGTGTGTTATGAAATGAGTACGGTTAATGTGACAGTTGCTCTCTTTCTATTGTGACCTCAATATACAATTGCAATGAATGAACCTTTTACCCTTTCACCTCACTTGCCCATCCCAGTCATGGTAATTGACTAAATGTTTTTTTAGAGTACCCTTGTCATGTATGATAATAAGACAACTTTTTGAAGCACAAACTTCAATTTTTAATCCCTGACCACCATATTGTCTGATAATATGGTAAATAACTCATGGAATTGAGATAGGGGAAATGTGTGCCGTGGTGTGAGTTAAGAATGTACATGAGGGATTCTTCATTCTGTTGCTTCAATCAGACATTGATACGGAAGATATTTTGTGTGATTGATTCCGAGCATGAGATTTATAGTTGAATAATAAAATAGAGCATGCAATATAATTTTGGATGTTTGTCATGAACTTCAGCCGAAATATCCTTCATTGTGTTGGTACAATGATACTATGTATGGAGTATATTAAAGTATATGAGGGTCACTGAAATACTTGGTGATGCCATTGGGCTATGACTGATGCCAATGGAAGGGAGTCTTGTCTGAAGGGATTCTTGTTTTGAAGAAATCAGCTCTTTCATGTCATACAAATAGGCTGGATTCCTTTCTTGGTCCTTTCTATTTCTGGTCAGTATGATAGTGGGTTTGGGATCAAATTATGTAGTGGCTTAACCGAGATCAAATTATGTTGTAAAATCCCAAGATTAATGAAATTCAAAAGGGAAAAGCAGCATTGGCGATTGGTGAAAAGTGGAAGAGTTCAGCATCTTTCCTGAGATTGCATATAGTAGCATATCCATGGATATGAGGTTTACTGAACCATTAGGTGATGCCATTGACTCATTGGGTTATAACAGATGTTAAAGTCTGGAATAGAACAATATTTGTGCCAATAGAAGCTATTCGTGTTTTGAAAAGCTGATGTCTTTCCAGCCCGGATAAATAGGCTGAATTCCTTTCTTGATCATTTTTTTTCTAGTAAGGATGAGAGATACTGCATCTAGCCTAGGATGGAATTGTGCTATATAATCCCTAGGTGAATGAAATTTAAAAGGGGAAAGTAGTGGTCAAAATTAAAGGTTCATTATCCTTTCTGCCCAAACCATATGCATCTTATGTCTTGATATCTTATTTCTAATAGTTTTGTAAATATTAAATGTCATTTAGCATACTCTTTTTTTATATGGCCTATTTTTCTGCTGATACAGGTACAACATGGGTGTGATAACAGATCGGAAAAGTTTAGCATTGTGTGAAAGGTTATCAGTGTCATCGTTCTGCCGGTAAACAAGCATCTATAGCTATCCTTTTGCAAGCGAGTGCTTCTATTATGCTCATGGACCATCTCACATAAGCAAATTAATAAAATTATTTTTTATCTCTATAATAATTAATTGCTTATGTGTGAAAGTTCATGTTTCTTATATTAACCTTAGGCCCATACTAGAACTTACCCTTGCAAACATGTCCATCTCAATTGCTACATTAAGTTACATTTATACTCTTAGTTACTGCACCTGAAGTTTATTTAACCATTTCAATGTCTTCAGAGAAGGTGGTTTTAATGATACTAATAACCAAGGAATTTATTCTAATTGAATTTCATCTTTTAGTGGTTTCTTACTTTAAGTATCATTGTGTATCTTTGTCCACAGGCGTAGGCTTGCCAGTGTCATGGTGAAGCTAAAGTTTGCTGAACACTTGAAGGAAGCCATAACATATATACAGCAGGGGCATATCCGAGTTGGACCTGATACTATAACTGATCCAGCACATCTAGTTACAAGAAATATGGAAGACTTTATTACTTGGGTAGACACATCAAAGATTAGAAGAAAGGTCATGGAGTACAATGACAAGTTGGACGACTATGATGCCATGAATTAATAGGACTATCGTTAGTCTTTTAGGCATTCCTTTGACCCATTGTGGCAATTATGGTGGTTTTATGCTATTCTCACTTTTGTGACCATTACATGTTTTTGGTCAAGTAACTCTACTCTGAGATGCTTTCTTGGCTTACTTTAAGGGCTTTATCTTACATGCATGTCTTTTTACTCGTTTTTTATCAGAACTGTACAAACATGTTTTGTTGGAATTTCACTGTTCTCTTGCTAGCATGTTCTGAAAATGTTACTCCCTTTGTCCCATGATTTTGTTCCCCTTTTGGCTTGGCTCCTTTTTTATGAAGTGTAATTGTGGGAATGATGTTTGGTTAGAGAAGGGTGCAATTTTATCCATAGATTTTTTTTACTGAAAAGGAAAGTGGAATAAAATATTGGGAATACTTAAATAGAAATATGGACAAATAGACTAATAGTACTTGAGAAAAGCAAATTCTTTTGTGGTCATAAGGTTTACACTCATTTTAACTTTTGTGGTCAACTTCTCAAATGAATCTTAGGATCATTAGAAGTAGTGATTGATTGATACAACAATCATTAGTACTGGAGAAGTTCTTCTACTTAGTTCCTGTCAAGTTAGGAGTACAACTTCAACTGGTCTCAACAATCTGCAACAATTTCTGCTATGATGCGTCAATAGAACTATATAAAAACACAAATTCAGAGAATGGTTGTCTTTATTTCAGCATTACAACATATCTGTCATAATCAGTACAATAACATCACCATCAAATCAGAAAGAACAGAACTGCCTAAAAGATAGTGATGACAATAGGAGAAAACAGCATATTTGTTTATGGAGAACTCTTCTTCTGGGTAAAAGAAGCAGCAGCAGCTGGTGGAACTCCAGGGAAAGTTGGTGTTGGTTGGAAGGGGAACTGTGGGAGAGGAGTTGGGAGAGATGGAGATGGCAGAAATGGAAAGGGTTGCTGCAGTGAAGGGACTGGTGGTGTAATGGAAGATGGTGGCAGAAAAGGGTTCACCGGAAGCTGAGAAGGCGGCGGCAGCAGCGGATTTGGCGGCAGACCGCCGCCAATTACTGGCGCGAAAATCCCAGGTTGGGCTGTCTTTTCATCTCCTGACTGGCTTTCCCTTGCTGTCTTGTCTAAATTTTCTGTCTTTTTAGGCACAGTTGGAAATCCGGGAACCCCAGGCAGGAAAGGGATCTTTGGGATTGGAGGGATTTCCGGCAGCGGCAGAGAAACACCACCTTGTGTCACCGGAGGAAGCAATAAGCCACGCGGCGGTGCATCTTGGATTGGAGGGGCAAATGAGGTATCATCTGGACTTAAATACTTAGACTTCTTGTGAGATATCCCATTTTCTTGGCTGGTTTCAGGTTTCTGAGACTTTGGAGTGCCTGTTTTCTTACCCTTTCGCGTTCGGTTACAAGCATCTGGTTTGACTGCGAAAGACCCTGCTGAGAATATCTGTTTCCCTTGCTTTGTTTCTATCAGATGTATGGAACTTGTAGAAGTTGCAGGAGAAGAAGCTGTTCCAGCACAAAAAGGTTCATCACTGCTGCTAATTAGCTTCACAGAGCAGAAGCCCTTTGTTTTCTTGGCAAGTTTGATCACAGAGAAAGGCAGCTTCACTTTGAACTCGCCATTCCTATCCGTTTTCACCTCCTTTCCGAACCTCGGACATTTTTCCGAGCTCCCACATTCCACTGCAATCGATGCACCTGTAAGAAAAAAGGGAATTATTGCACAGAAATGCAGAGTTTTCTTTTCCTATAGATGAAAATGGAAGGCGAAACTTACCCGAAATCGAGGGACTAGGCTTTGAGAAATGCTGGCATGTGTTGCAGTACACAGTCCCAACAAGTACAGCTTCAGATGGATTATGTCTTCTTGCTTCTGAGAAGCAGCCATAGTTTAGCACTACAAGACCTACAAGAAATATGATCCAAACCCAATTCTTTTTGCAACTCATTTTCATTTTAAAAATGGGTTTTTTCTTCTTCTTCTTCTATTTCTTCTTGTTTTAGTTTAAAGAACACAAAACCTGAGATGGTTCTTCAGTTTGGCTTGGAGTTGGAGAGTGACTTATAAGGCTGGGAAACAATATGTGCATTTATGCCAATCATGTGGAGATTTGTGACCTGTCAAACTAGAAACCATTATTATTATCACTGCTTACTACCAAACAGAGCACAAGAAAAATGAGCCTTGTTGGATGTCTCTTTTTCATTTACTTGGGGCTTTTTTTGGCTACTTCTAACTTGTCTTTTTTTTCTTTTCTTTTCTTTCTGTAAAGAAAGAGGTCCAGTGGTGGTGGGTTCACAAGAAGCTCATTCATTGCAGCCAAGGGATTCATGGGAGTCTTGTGGGCACCAACAAGGGGAGGGGGAGTTGGAAAAACAACAGTTCTTGAGGCCACTTGAATTTAAGTCTTATTTGGGGCAATTTTCACTTTCAAATAAATTAAACTTACTCTTAAATAAACACATTTTTATAAGCTTAATCAACCCCAAACATCTAGAAAATTAGAAGCTGAGAAGGATTTCTGGGACGTTTTTTAATTTCATACATATGTACTGGTATATATAATAAACACTTTTTATAAGTTTTATCAACTGAGAGAACAGTAGTTGGGAAGTGTTTGTCTTTGTTGGAATGCTTTTGATTTTGTAAGCTTAATAAATTAACTCCAAGCACCCTCATATTGCTTGTGATTTTGGTTTGATTGAGTTCAATAAATCCCATATTTTATATGTGGACGTACCCCCACCTCTTAGATCTCGCATGTTTCGGTTTTACAATGTTTGACTGAAGTTATTTTTTTTCAAATCATTTTATATGAAAAATAGTGTAAAGTTAAAAAATAAAAACTACATATTTAAAAACCACATCAAAAGATCTACAAAACTAGTGAAGACATGACTATATTAGTTTTCAAATGACTAATGAAAATAGAAAAAGAAAGTGAATAAAGTTTGACCATATAAATAGTAAACATGTAATTTAATTTGGAACAGAGGGAATACTATACATCCAATAATTAATTGTTTTACTTTCATTTTCAGCTCGTTTTAAAAAAATTGTCACACTTTTTGACTTACATACTAATAAAATAAAAAATGTGATCTATAATTTTTCTTTTTTAAAAAAACAAATTTTAACTGTTTAGTTTTTACGTCTTTCGTCCCAAATTAAGTTACACCGTATATGTTTACTATTTACAGAGTCAAACTTCATTATTTTCTTTTCCTATTTTCGTTAGTCATTTGATAAAATAATATAATCATGTCACATCTTGTTCCGTCAAACTTTTGATGTAGTTTTTTAATATGTAAATTTATTTTTTAATTTTACCCCAATTCTCAAATAAATTGTCTTGAAAATAGTTTCAGTCAAATATTATAAATTAAAAAAAGCGATTCTAATTGAGACGGAGGAAGTACTTTTCAACAATTTTTTTTAAATTTTGAGACGTCGAAAGTGTAAATTATTAGGGACGGAAAGAATTTTGTAGCTCTAATCTCTATGACTTCGTCAAAAGTGAGTTATAATGTAATTTTTGTTTCACTAAATTCATTCTGAAATGTGTGTTTAGAGTAGATTTGGTTTATATGATTTATTTATATATTTGTTTTTTTGAGCAGTTATTTACTCCATATTTATTTACTCCGAACATATATATACTAATGGTTAAAGTTGATAACTGAGGCCGTAAAAATTTGGCAGGGATCAAATACTTCCTGGATCCTGCTTTGTTGTTTCTGCACACTTCCCATTTTTTGACTTCAAGAAATTTACAGATTTTTAACATCCTCCAAAAACCTCAACAATTTAACCTTTACAATTTTTCTTGTACCCATTTACAATTGCCACAATTTCCATTGTTGCTTACGATGTTTAATTAAAATTAATTTCAACTAAAATTTTAAAAAAATTAAAAAGTGACAAATGTGGGATTAAAAAATATATACTTAAAACTATATTAAAAATTTTATGAATCAAGAGAGGTGACATGACTATATTATTTTGTCAAAGAAGTACTCCCTCCGTCCCATTTTAAATTGCCTGTTTTGAATTTTGGGCATATTTAAGGTAAAGAAAAAATAGAATTGATTTTTTGAAATTATCATTACTTTTTCGAAGGAGTGACTATGAATTACTAGAAGATAAGGTGAATAAAGGTGACTTATTTTAGGGGTAGTTTAGGTATTTTATTTTTAAAAGTTTACGATAATAACTAACAGGCAACTTATTTTGGGACAGAAAAAAAAGACAAACATGCAATTTAAATTGGGACAGAGGGAGTAACAAAGATATACAAAGAAAGTGGTTAAAATCTAATATTGTAAACAGTGTAAACAAAAGAACTTCATGCCTTCATGGAAGGGGGGAATCTCTCCATCTTTAATTAATTCGTTAGCATATAATACAATCAAGAACTTTAGTTTAGAATTAAAAGCTTCATGAAACAAAAATAACAATTCATATATACATTGAAGAAGTAAGCTAAAACAAATCATTGACAATAACTAATCTTCCATAAATTTAACCAAAACCGTACCATATCGAGCAGGTTATCAATATGCTCCACAATTTTACACTCGGCAACACAATTTCGACTAACGTTAACAACTTTTACGTAGTGAGACTACAACCTTTCACAGAAGTTCCTTGTCGTAGAATGCAAGAAGTTGTTTCACACGATTACTCCAAGCACCAACATTTTGTCCATCAACAAGTACCCAGTCAACAACAGTTGATGCTGGTTGTTCCCACCATTCATCCAACTGCTCCAAAATAACACATTGTATTAGCAAATGTAGGCAGTATTGGTCAAATATATCAGAATATACCCTTGACTAATCTGTTTTAGTTTATATCTTGAAACTTTCAGGTTTAGCATAAGTTTTACCCTTGTGGGATTTTACTGGGTTTGATGTTGTGTAATAGGCTAAAAGCTAATAACAAAGCCAAGTGATTCCATGAAATAATGATGGCAAGACTGTTGAGTTTCAAGCCAACAAATGTTATAATGATACTCTATTGATACCAAATAAACTCTCAAAGCAATGATAAGATTAATAGGGGGGAAATATTTAATTGTTGTAGAAAGAGTTAATTACCAATCCCGAAACATATTTACAGTCCTCCAGGAACTTCTGAGAGTTAATAACTGCATTCCTCAGTTCAGGTAACCATTTCTCAGTGATAGTTTTGTCTTGTTCAGCAGCAAGGTTTAGAGAGTAATTTGTCGTCCTGCGATAAATGGCCAATGAAAGCAACGTGACTTTGTAAGCTACAAATGATTGCTTGCAGCAAATAACACATTACTAATAAACCAATAACAGCAACAGTAAGAAGCAGAACACAAACATCAATCAATCCTAGAGAGTTTTGGATTTAAATTATGGAATAACATGATCGGTGATCACATAACATTTCATTCACCAGCTTCACCCTTTGTTCACTTTTAGAAAAATTTTATTTGGAAAAATAATTTAATCTTGGCAAACTGGCTATAAAATTTAATCTGCTGGAATCCCAACTCAAATTTAATATTTGTATTTAGAAAACATCCTCAACCCCCCCCCCCCCCATATATATATATATATATATTGCTACATTAATATGAATATGTCAGGCAGTCAGGTTCATGAAGAGCAAAATATCTCAGTACCTTTCATATTCATGCTGTGCACGGTAAGCATGATCTAACAATGCACGGGTACTTTCAATGAGATCCCGCTGTGAATGGACCAAAGTAATTGCCTTCTCCAAATCTTCAAGAATGCAAGCCTCAGAGCCCCGAAGTTTTAGGCAAAATTCCATAGACTCTAACACTGACGATAGAGCAGCCTCTGAGCCTAAAGATAAGAACAGAGCACAATAATTGTGTTATGATTTATACGTTTACAATTACCAAGACCAAAATCCCCTCCAATAGTTTTGGTTACCCATGCAAGATCTTGACATGTACTACATTATTGGAACATAAAACATAAAGTAAATTCCCAAAGTTATACTCAATAACTATACTATATGTTTTCCCAAATTAGTCCTCAAGATAAACTAATTACAGAGAAGGTACTCGTTAGTTGAGAAAAATGCTTAGTTTACACCCCCCCGACTAACGGTTGTCGAGACGACATAAAAACTTAAACTAGTTTCCCAAAATGATCATGTCTAATTGGGTGTTTTCTAAAGTTGGTCCTTTTTTGGAATAAAAACTCAACAAATATGGGAAAATAATTTTAAATACTATAAAACAATAATATAGGAAATAAAACTATAAATGTAATCTCATTTCATAATACTTCTTTCTTTCCAAAATAAGATAAGTGTGAACAGAAAATTTTAGACTAATTTTCATTTATATTTATTTGAAAATGACTTCAGTCGAACATCATAAAGCGAAGCAGGCATCTTATTTCAGAATTGATGAAACCGTTTATTAAATATATTTTTACATGATATTCTTCTAAATAATTTTAAACAATGTGAAATGTTTATTTTCAACTTTATTAAATTATATTTAAAGTTTATTGATTAGATTCTAATCCTATAAAGTTTAAATTTATTTTTCCATATTTATTGATTTTTTATTTCAAAAATGAACTAATCTGGGAAAACACCCAATTAGAAAGAATCCTTTTGAGAAATTCTTTTAATTTTTGACGTCATTTTAATGGCCGTTAGTCGGGAACTAAACTGAGCATTATTCTCAATTGAGGAGTACCATCTCTGTAATCAATTCATCTTGGGGACTAATTTGGGAAAGCACATAGTTATTGAGTATCATTTTGGAAATTTACTCTAAAACATAATTTTATTAGTGTAGCATCAGAGCAGATTCAATTCTCTTCTACTCCCTCCACCCCAATTTCTAGTTTTGACTTTTACATTCAAACCAATTAAACTTTGACTAATATATATTCTAATATATTTTTATACAGAATAATTTATAATGTAAAATATTTGTATAAAATAATTTTACTACAATTTATAACTTTTCCTAAAATATGTCAACTAGAAACATCATTCAGTTTAACAAGTTTGGCCAGAAAAGTCAAACATGGAAAATCGCATAAAACGGAGGAAGTATGTGATTAGCTGATCTGAGTTTGTGACCAACGTCAATAAGATCAGGTGAAGAAATGGGATGTTGCGTGCACACGCACATAGATATAAACTGAATATCAGAACACAAGGAAACACTCAAGATCCCCAATTGCCAAGGAAAGGTCTCACCTGCAGTAGACTGAAGTGCAGCAGATATGCGACATATAGAAGGAATTGCAGATGGATCCCTTGCACCGGCTTTGGCTGTCAAAATAGCAGCATTCCTTGCAGCAGCAACCACAGCTTCTGGTCCAGTAGAACCATTGCTGCCAAAACACTCCAAGAGTGCCTGGTCACCAATGAAAATGGGGGGAAATATGATTATTTTTTTGCATATATTAAGAGTGCATGTTTTGTTGGGATTTTGTTGGGGTAAGGAGGAAAGGATTGATTTTAGTTTTAATAAATCATGTATTTCTACACGTAGTATAACTTCTCATACCATCTAAATGTAGATATTACTCATCCCCTTTCCTCCCCTACGAATTCCCCAACCAATCAAGGGCCAAGTGTGAAACGTTTATTCTTATCGTTTCTTCGTTCTTAATATCATAGATGAGTATCATTGCTTTATTGTATACTAATTTCCTGATCATTCATAGAGACATAGAGTGATGATGTTTGTGAATAAACGTTCTCAACTTCCTGTATGCACAGAATGAAAGTTTTTTCATTAAATACATTAACATTGATGGAAGGTGAGGTACCTGGGGTGTTGATGGAAGCATGTATAGAGTATTATCCGGAGTTTGAGAGAAAGCAGACACTTCTTTCTCAATAAGATCCTTCGCCTTGCTTGATAAGTTCACAACAATACTGCAAGCAGGGATAACAGTGCGAGCTGCATAATCTTTTGTTACCACTGGCTGTTGGCTCCAATATGATGCAGCGTCCTATAATTAGATTTACAAGTTGAAATAAGAAAAATACACAACTATATTCTCTAAGGAAGAGGGTGAGCCAAGGTTGAGCCCATATGTAATGGCCAGAAGCCAGAAGGTGAGTATTTGGTTACTGAACCATGCCCACCCCAACATGACTTGTGATGTCCAAAGAATTTAGCATTTCAGTTAGTCAACATTTCAGTTATTTACAATTATTTATTTACGGACTACAAAGGAATTAGTTTTAGATACATGCGAATCTTTATCACAACACAAACAAAAAATATCAAATTGATACAAGAAAAAAACAGGTTACGAAAACATATTCAATGTTTTCCAATACAAATTCACCAAAAGAAGCAACCATTATTCATTAATCAATGCTTTAATCCCAATTGGTTGGGATCAGTGCCATGAAATATATAATGCCAATTGATTGTCTAAAATCAATTGACACTACAAAATCATGCAACAAATAGTATAGAAGCAAAGTTTTATGTGAGATGCACTTCCTATCAAGAGGGCATAGTATCATTGTCAATAGCTTATTTCCACTTTTAAGGAAAATATCAAAATAAGGCAATGAGTTGATTGTTAGTCACGTCCATTAGGATAGCATATTGTTATTGTCACCAAGAGACCAAGAAGTGTGCACAATATCTACTGTTTACAGTAGATGGAAAATGAGCAGTATAGTAACCTACCATGCTAGCCTTAAGCAACGCATTGTAGATGGACTCAAGTTCAGATCTCCTAGCATCAAACTCTTCGATCTTTTTCCATTTCTTTCTCAGAGAATCTTCAGCTTCCTTTCGCTCTGCACATAATTTATTTAATCGTTGAATTTCAGACATCAACGTATTCACACTAGCTTGCAATCCAGCAGCTTCTCTTTCCTTTGCCCAAACGTCAAGCTACAAAGCAAAGAAGAAAATTTTTAAGAGGCATCCCATATCTTAGTCAGGATAGTAACATGGAATTTCATAATGCATAGCTGAACACAAACAGTCTATGTCTCTATGATCATTATCCAATAGAGTGAATTCCTAGGTGCACGAATAACATGGAACGAAGATGATAGTGACATTTAGCATGATTATTTAATACTACATATAATCACACCAAACAAACCCAATATATCCCTTTCAAGGGTAGGGTTTTGGCTGTGGGGAGATTGACGCAAACCCTACCTCTACCCTAAGGCCTAAGGAGTACTCCCTTCGTCCTAAAACTTTCTTGTCACACACTATTCACATGGTCAGACTTTAATCACTTTCTGTACTTATTTGCGTTATCTATTTGATATAATAATATGGTCATGTCACCTCTTGTTTTGTAGAACTTATGATGTAGTTTATAAATATATAATTTTTATTTTTAAATTTTACACCTATAATCAAATAAATTGAATTAAAAATCATTCCGGTCAAACCTCGTAAACCAAACTGGGAAGAAAGTTTTAGGACGGAGGGAGTAGCAATTTCCGAGAGGATCCTGAAACAATGACATGTAGCGTCAGTGAAAAGAACATTACACTCACACATCTCCTCCATAGACTCTACAACTCTACAACTCTACAACTATTGTACGTCTCCATGAACTCCCATAACAAGTCATGTTCCCAAAGAAGTGAAAGGCAAGTCCAACCTCAATTATACATTCCACGTCTTACGTGGCCTACCTCTCTTCCTGATCCCTATATCAAAATTCCATCTACCCTCTTCACTACTATTGGTTTGTCTGTGCGAACATGACTAAACCACCTGAGTTTGTGTTCTCTTACTTTATTATTTTATTACTTATTAGTAATAGGCAGTAGGAACTACCTACATCTCAGTATGAAATGCCTCATCCAGCACTCTGTCCAACAAAGTACAATAGGAAATCCAGTGCAACATCCTCATTGTCACAACTTGTAGCTTTTGCTAGCAGTTTTACGAGTCTTCTTTAACCCCCAGTCTCCCAAAACTAAGATGATAAGACCCACACAACATAGCTGGTTGAATGGCAACCCTATTAGCTTGAGAGCCAACCCTTCAATTTCAACGGGATCTACGAGTCACATAGCCCTCCAGAGACCGCCCTCCACTTCACGTCTTCACCCCCCTAATACTATATGTAAATGGACCATAAATGTATATTACATGGTCTTATTGGTCTATTTAAATTGTTTGGGGAAGTTGATGTCAACATAGTAGATTCGTGACATTCATAAATTGATAAGTAACAAGGAGTATAACACCCTTTTGGAATATGCTCACTCTACTATATTGGAATTTACTTTGTCAAACAAGCGGGTGACAAAAAAGGGAATGTTTATCTATTGATAAAATGAGGCTTAACCAAAGTGGACTCTAGTGATTGATGGAAAAACACGATAGCAGGTAATTGAAGAAGCAAATAAGAAGTTCAAATTTTAAACAAATTATTTGCTCTATTGCAAAATGAAGTTTACACTTTCCTTTTTGAAATGTCTCAAAATAAAGATTATACTTTCCGATTAAGAATAGGAATATGTGGCTCACAACATTTTCTCTTTTCTAATCAAATTTTTACTGCACACTTTAAAATTTTCAGCATTTTTCTTACAATTTTTGAAGTTGAACCAAAAACCTCGCTCATTATGAGAGTAGCAAATATATCCCCCCCAATGGAATAAAAAAGAAAGAACACATAAAAGAGCATACCAATGTACTTTTAGGGTTAGCAGAAAAGCCAGTGTCTACGAATGCTTATGCACATCCCTAATTACAGGAAAAAATATAGCCATACCTCAAGTTGCCTGAGACTGCCCATAGACTGTGATGTCCCCCCAATAACAAGTGTGTGTGAAGACATTGCATCTCTTGTTCCTTGCAGCCGCAGCAAAAGCTTTTGGATAACCTTTCTAGCTTCCGCAGCTTTGTTCAATGCATCTTCAGTAGCAACAAACTGCTGAACATGTGCTTTCTGCAAAGGCAAAAAAACAATATGAACAAGTATACGAACAAGCTTACCCGCTTGCATATTTCAGAAAGATGTACAATATTTCTAGCCTTATTTACTAACATTCTCCATTTTTTGTTCTTTATAACTCTCAATTTCATTCTCCTAACGGAAATCAGATAAAAGAAACATATTTACTACAACCTCTTTTTCAAACTCTTTGTTCAGTTCAAAGAGAAAAAAGAAGCTATTAGCCACTATAGAAGTAGTACACAACCTCCCTTTTAAGCCTAAAAATGTTCTATATCCTCTTTGGAACATAGTAAGGAATGTTGATTAAAAGGTATACTGCCCATGAATCCCTTGATAACAATTAACATGCCATTTCTCTTGAATTACACTACCAGAGCAAAGCTATGTCATGGTGAAGAAACTAAACCAGTTCTAAATGCAGGGAAAGCAGACCTGTCTTTCAAGTAGTTGGTTTTTTGTACCCCCTGAAGGGGTATCACCTCCTATCTTTCCATTTCCATAAAGCTGGTATTGTAATGGTGAATTTATATCAGGACTTGAAGCATCAATAACTCTGTTATTTTCATACTTGTATCTGATTCAAAAATGGAAGCAAGAATATTATTTTAGCAGAACAACAAAGAATATTCTCATTGATAAAATAATTCAGGGTAAGAATATGTTGTGAAAAGTGATTTTGCAGGAAAACAAAATCTAATTTTGACTCATAGTAGCAACAAGCATCACTTTATGAAAATTACATTGAACAGTTGGTTCATACCAACATGTCAAACGGATAAAAGGAAACTCACAAGTCACAATGCCCTTTTAACTTTTTAACAGTTACATTGCATGATATGATTGCTATTTACATTCAAAAATTACAAAAAAACTCAAAATAAGACAGAAAGATGCTTCTCAACCAAAACAACCCCCCAATCAAGTATATTCAAGCATTTTTTTTTCAGCACTTGGGAACTATACCAAAAACTAGCTTATGCGTTCTGTTAATTTTTGAAAAAGGGTGCTTGAAGGTGGTAACAACCTTAGGGCATTTCATTAATACACAGATAAATGCTAGAGCAAATGTTGTTCGGAGGAATAGGGTAAAATTACCTTAGCATTTCTGCATCAGTTCTGGGATCAATTTTTTCTATTTCCGCACTAATTAAATTTTTTAGTCTTTGAGAGTATGCAGTGATGGCACAAAGAAATTGAGGAGGGTTTTTTAAGCAACATCTAATGGCATCCTTAACTTCATCAGGTACATCCACATCAATACCCAAATTTGCAACCTCAAGGTGAGGACTGGAGTGGATTCCATTTCCTTCATAAGCTGGAAAAGAGATGCAGATCTTTTCTGCCATATGCACTGCCAGAGACTCACAAGCTTTCCGAATATTTCTTTCCCATGCTGTTTCAATAAGAATTACACCATCTGCTGCTTTTTTCCCTTTATCTGTTGAGTAACCAGATTCTTTTTCGTAGCTATGCTGAAAAGTAGATACCATCTCATCTGACGAATTGACATTTGACCTCTGAGAATCCTTTGCTTGATTAACATAGTCAAGGAGACGCTTGTGGTACTCTGCAAAAATCTTTGCTGCTTCATTGCATTGTTGATCATAAGCTTCAAGCATCACCTGTTTGTGTCTGCACATCAGGTATCGATATCTATGTCCATTACCCTTAAGATATCCACCTTTTGATCTACTTAATTTGATGCAAAACCAAAACACAGATATATTGTGGAATCAACCTATAAAATGTGCAAAACAAAGAACAAAACTTCAGAAATGCATCAACGACTAGGCAGATGATTGGTTTTCATGACAGACCTGTAATTGCACCTTTCATCAATCACTCGCTTGCGTTCAGTCTCCTCTCTTGAGACCTCCAGCATCCGGGCTTTCAACTCCTTCCTCTGCTGCCCCACTGCTTGCCTAAGCCTTTCTACCTCCTTCTGGGCCAAATATCTTTCCTGCAAAGCAATCTCTTTACTATTCTCAGCAGAAGCTAATCCCAAACTTGAACTCTTCTTCCCTATCCCGGACCTCTCCTTTCTCCTCCCTCTACTCTTCTCCACCACCTTCTTGGAATCACCATTAGCGCTACTACTACTACTACTGACAGATCCATCGTCTCCACCATGAACCAGAATATTCCGGCGGATATTCTCAACCGTCTTCTCGGATTTCACCCTAGTCAACAGAAAGTTCCACACTGGGATCATATTCCCGCGGCATATCTTCCTCAGAGAATCTGCCGTCGGCATAGCCGTTGATTTTGCGGACGCATTGTATGGCCCTAAAGGCCGATATCCCATCTCCTTCTGAAGCCACTCCAAGATTGCCTCCGGTTGGGCCGCCGCCGAGCTAGTGGAACTCTGCATCCACGCTCTACTTCTCAAAACCTGGGGTTTTACCCTTCCAAGTGATCCAAATCACTCAATGCCCTAGATCCTGAACCGATTCGTTGAACTGCAGAAACTGGATGGGAATGGAGTGAAGGAGAAGCAGATACGAAATGTGGATCGGGTCTGGCCGGCGATCGATTGAAAATTTGAAATGAGCTGAGGGGATATTAAACTAAAAATGAAATTACAAAATAAGAAGAGACAAAAATAATTTATTTTTTTAAATAGTCAATAAAAAAATATAAATAAATAAAAGTTCTCTTAATTTTTGAATAATAATGTTTGTAAATCATTTATAGATACAGAAAGTATATCTTACTCTTTCGTTGGAAAAATTGATGATTTTTAACTCTAATATTCCGCTAAATTCCCTTATTTTGACTTTGAAATCAATTAAATTCTGTACAGCGTAATTAGAAAGGGTGGGAGGATGAATTTAGGTCGGGCTATAGTGGAAGATTTATCGAAAGTAAGAGTCGTCAATTTTTCAAACAGAGTATCATAGGTATTCCAAACAGGGCATGCATGGGATGTGCTAATGTCAATTGAACCGTCAGTTTTGTTCAATTGAACCGTCAGTTTTGCTAATCCCAAACGGAGTACCGTCAGTTTTGTTATGTTATATTCTAAAACATCCTTAAGTGTTTATATTCCGAAAATAAAACAAAAATAATAATGTGTACGAATCACAAGAATAGTGACATTGAAAAAATTAAAAAATTGAAATTATTTTTAAACTATATTTATAAACATAACAACAACAATATATGAAAAACACATCATTTTAAAATTAAAGTCATTGTTTGAGGAGTAGAAAAAGGATAAAGAAAATTAGAATAATTAGAAAAAATGAAAGGAACTAAAAGGGCATGAAGATATTATAAAATTTAAAAAAACTAGAAAAAATAAAAAAAACTTAAAAAAAATTCAAACAGACTAAGAATTAAGATCTTAAGTTTTAAAGAACTTACTACGTAGTACTCCGTAATATTTAGTATGCATTATGTAAAATAGTGTGCAAAGGGAGGTTCTCCCGCATATCCATTATATATTTGATTCCCTACAAAACACTATTTTTGATTGAAAGAATTTGGAAAAACAAAAATTAAAGAAAATACTTTTCTTTCACTTTGCTAATCAAAATAGGAGAAATTTAATATTTTCTTCTTTTATAACTCCGTCTTTATTTTATTTTTTTAAATTCTTATTAAAAGGTCTAAATTTATTTTAAAAATCTTAGTATATAATTATCAAAAAAAGAGTTGGATTTTTTATAAAACAGAAAAGACTCAATTATAAATCTATAAAGAGTCTTTTCCCTTTGAAATTCTCGAACATAACTAAAAATCATTTCTCTCTTCTCTAAGCTGACCTGAATGAATTTATAAGCGCCAAACCCCCCTGCCATTCTGTTCATCGGCTCGTCAACAAAACCAACTAATTTATTCATTTTCGATTCTCTTCAGGAATCCAACAATAGTTACATCGATCTCCTTCTATCTTTATCTGCCAGAATTTGATCGAATTATCGAAATCTGTCAGGTTGATTTTGGGTTTCGGCGAATTGAAGAATGGACATTGACCAAATATTCGGAGAGTCCAGGGCGGTATGTCCTCCGACAAAGAGCGCGATCTACGTGTGGGGCTACAACAGCTCCGGCCAGACCGGCCGGAAGGGAAAAGATACGAGCTTGCGGATCCCAAGGAGCCTGCCGCCTGGCCTATTCGGGTGCCCGGCTGCGGGAGGAAACTCACGGTGGCTGGACATTGCTTGTGGCCGCGAGCACACGGCGGCCGTCGCCTCGGACGGCACTCTATTTACGTGGGGTTTGAATCTTCGCTCCATTTCTTTAACATTCTTTGTTTCGTCAATTTTCTGACTTTTATTTAATACTGTAGCTAGGTTGGAATTTGGAATTCCCTTCCGTGATCTAATTCGAGATCTTCTATTGCTCTTAAAGCTTGTTCCTTTAATTGAAATCCTTACACAATCTGATCTTAAATGACTTTTTTTATTTTTTTATTTGAAAAAAAAGAGATTGAAATTCGCCACAAAAAATGTGGAAAATGTTAGTTGAATGGGGAAAAGAGAGGAGATAGCTCNCAAAGATTTACATTTATCATTGTTATTATTCCAAGCAGGAACTAATGAATTTGGACAATTGGGCGATGGAACTGAAAGTAGTAGGAAACACCCAGGCAAAGTGAAGCAATTGCAATCTGAATTTGTGTTATCTGTTTCATGTGGAGCACACTGCACAGCTGCCATTGCAGCGCCCCGTGAGAACGATGGGTCGAAGTCAACTAGGAGACTCTGGGTCTGGGGACAAAACCAGGTTTTGCTTGTAGTTATAGATCTTTGAGTCATCCCTTCATTTGTTTCTCTCATACTAACTAACTCTTGTATTTTTTTTCTTTCCAGGGCTCCAATTACCCACGTCTATTTTGGGGCGCCTTTGCTCCTGATGTGGTATAGCTTCTCCCTCCCTCCCTCTCTCTTCTCTAGTACCGGTATATGTTACTCCCTCTAGTTGTTGTTTTGGATAAAAAATTGTTTTACAATGTGTGTCAGTTTTTAGAACAAAAGATGATATTTAATGATTTCTTTTTTTCAAATTCTCCATCTGGTGCAATATAGTATAGTTTTATCTGTTTGAATGGTTTGATAACACTTCAATCTACTTGATTTCTTCCAAAGTGAAACTTATTATAAACCAGAGGCCAGAGGGTTTATATGCTGCTTCTCAAAATCTGCCAAATTTTTATTTGTTGAGTAATTCAGATTATTCTCCAAGTTTCATGTGGGGCTGTTCATGTTGTGGCTCTATCAGAGGACGGTGCAATGCAATCATGGGGTAAGTGGGTAATTTCTGTCATGTTTTTTTCCCTTTTCCCCTTTTCTGTAGTTTGTCCTTTGTGACTAATCGGACTAGATACAACTCAGTATTTGCGGGGTGCAGTCTAACTTTATTTCTCAATTGGTTTGACAATTTGAGAATGGAAACTTCAACTAACAAACTCTGGTAAAGGGGAAGTATTAATTAGAACTCTTACTGCTTCGGCAAACCAGGCTATAATGAATATGGTCAGCTTGGCAGAGGTGTTACAAGCGAAGGCCTTCAAGGGCCTCGTGTGATTAGTGGATTTGCTAAATTTCTCGATGAAGCCCCTGAGATTGTAAAGATTACACAAGTGTCATGCGGGGAGTACCACTCTGCAGCCATATCAGAAGAGGGCGAGGTGTAAGTGTTCATAGGACCTTTCTTGTTGACGATAAGTGATATGCACAAGAGTTTTGGATATCTGCATGACACAAGGGGAGTTACATAGAAGATTAGAAAACTAATTGACATCTAACCACAATATATTCCTTATTCCCGAGACATTAATTTTCATTCTTTAACCCAAACCTATCTTTAAGACATTTTTTATTCATGCTTCATAGTCTGGCTGTTTTCCAGCTAAAATGAGTACCATGTGACTCATTTCTTGTTCTAATATCTGATTTTTTTCCTTTATTAAAGATCTGTGTTAAGGATGTGTTCAATGATGGTATCTGGCATCTGGACTCATCATTTCCGGATACTTTCTGTGGATATAATCTTTGGGGTCTGTAAGGAACCCATTAAAGAAAATGTAGAGGAAAATTGGAAGGAAATAAAATTTGGTAGAAAAAACCAGCTGCTCAAACTCAATACAACAATTATAGACATAAAATTTTAAATAGTAATAATCAGATATGATTTTGTTAGTATAGCACAAGGTAAAATCAAACACAAAATAAATATCCTTAATATTTTTTCCATTTCATTATCTTGTTCCTGGTTCCAAGAACAAGCTTTGAAGATGTCAAAGCTGGAATATTATCTTATTATTCCTTGGTAATGAAATTACGATAGGAAGGACACTTAGAACAAAACTTCATCACTATGTGTTTTGGTATGAATTCGTGGTGCTAACTATCTTAGAGACAATTAGTTGTCTATAACTATCATGCCACCAATACCGACATAGTTGGCATAAAACTGTTGGTGTTGTTCTCAGCCATGATGATGACATCAAATGTTCCCCTATTCACTGGCCAGAAACCACATTGAGCTTGGACTAATCTTAAATCAAGAGGTCGAGTTACTGTTGGATCCCATTTACTTGAATAGCTGATAATGATTTAATATTAACATAAGATACACCAACCCCTATCATTGAAGAAGAAGAAATATGACCGCACACAAAAGAGTTCCTTCTTTTATTTTTATTTGTATTTTGGATTGAGAAATACGAGGAAGAAAAAGAAAAGATGGAAAGGTAAAAATACAACATTTCACACAATTAGATATTTACTGTAGATATGCTTGATATAGGGTTCACAATGGAAGTCATTGGTGGTAGCATAGCATAAAATTATGTTTTTAAATGGGTGACTGACTTTTTTCTGTAGTTTGTCTTGCCGATCTTTCATAAACTAATCTGCCTGGCTTAGAATATTGAGATGTCAACAACAACAAACCTAAGGAGGTTGTTTTGTTAAACTCTTGATGCATTGTTGCATTTACAACCAAAAGCTTCACAGAAAGTAAGAAGAGATAGGTTTAATGTTGCATTTTGATTTAGTCCGTTATTTACGTGAAGCTAAAACATTGTCAACAATGACTCTGTTAGTTCCAAACAGACAGATGTCATATCCTTGTAATCAAAGCTATCTCAGCTCGAGTTGGATATCAAGTAAAAGTGACTGCTTGTATTCTGCTCCTAGCTCCCATTTGAAGTCAAAACTTCAAATAGATATTGCATACAATATATTTTGTTAATATAAAGACTATATAGAGTGCTTAATAGCAAGTTATACTGTTATTGAAATACTTGGCTTCTTCTCTTTATGACATTATTGTTTTCAAGTGTATTACTACTTCCCAAAAATGAGCCCTGTTTGATCAAGGTACAACCTTATAAATTTTGGTAAAGTGTAACAGCTACAAACAATTAATCCTACTGATATGGATTAAAATTTATTTGATTCTTTAACTAGATTGATCATATCTAACTTGTGTGTTCCTCAAAATTACATGAGAATGAGCTCTGTTTGGTGAAGATGCCTCCTTTTTTTAAAGAAAAAGTTGTTTAGCGCAAGATTCATTTTTTTTTGTGTTGGAGGAGAGTAGTTCCTTCTATATTTTTTTCATGTGGTGCCTCTTGTATATTTGATATTTATTCAAGATTTGACAGCTCCTGTTTAGCACCCATTATGTATCACAATAATAGCATAAACTTCTCATGCCGTGGACTACAAGCTTTTTCTTACATTATCTGGCGTAGTTTGGACTTTGGACTGCATAGAATATGCTTTGTGGCAAAGTACTCATGTTTTTCTCATAGTTCTTTTACACTGAAATGAACGTTGGATCTACCTAGTTTTGTTTCTTCAATTGTTGTATGCTTTCATATATAGATTCTTCTGGTTCTGAATTTCTAATGGCTTAATTTAACGTTACAGCTACACCTGGGGACTAGGAAATGTGGGCCAGCTAGGTCATTGTTCCCTCCAATCAGGTGATAAGGAACTTCTACCTAGGCGGGTGGTTTCCCTTGATGGTGTATTCATCAAGGACATCTCATGTGGTGGTGTCCACACATGTGCTCTGACTACCAAAGGGGCTCTTTATACCTGGGGTGGAGGTCAGGCTGGGCAGTTGGGCCTTGGGCCAGTCTCGGGCTTTTTCTCTTGCAAACTCGACGAGTCAGAAATGATGCTTAGGAATATACCCGTTCTGGTTATCCCATCTGGTGTGCAACTTGTTGCATGTGGACATTCTCACACATTAATTTTTACAAAGGATGGAAGAATTCAAGGATGGGGCTACAATAGCTACGGCCAAGCGGCTAATGATAAATCTACATATGCTTGGTATCCTTCTCCTGTTGATTGGTATGACACCTGCTTAAGCTATTTGCTTCTACTCAACAATTATTGATAAGTTATTATTTTTATTTTTGTCTAAATTTGAGCATTGGTGGTGCAGGTGTGTAGGAGAAGTCAGGAAGCTGGCAGCTGGCGGGGGCCATTCTGCAGTGCTGACAGATGCGTGTTCGTTGAAGGAATTATGCGAGTTTCGCCTTGCTGAAATTGTGAATCTTGCCAACGCTTATGAAATTGAGGATGTTGCATCAAGAACAGGGTGCGACTCGCTAGCTCGCCTTTGCAAAAGATTAAGGTATTGGTCTCATACGGAACATTGCATTTGCCTGGACTCTATGAGTGAAGTATGCAATTGCAATGCTTTTTAGTTTTACCGTGCTTTAACAATTTTAATTTAGATTTTTTTCCTACGTCCAACAACAAACCCAGTAAAATCCCATACCCCAAAGAGTGGGACATGGGGAGGGTGTAGTCCTTGAGGCTTTTTCATGAGACCGCGTCTCAAAACAAAAGGGTAACTGAAGAAAAAAAAAAGGTAAAGGAAAGAGAAAATACAAAGGAGAGGAGCACGACAAAAGGAAACACACACGTAGATGCAACACAAAAGATTGCAAGTCCTACACAAGGGCATAACCCTATCCAAACCCTAATCCTAGACATCCTTCCTATCTAGGGCCATATCCAGAAGCTCATATCTAAGGCCATATCCTCCCGAACCTGTTCATAAAGAACACCCTTGGATGGTAACTCATTCTCTTGAAGGGTGTGATTTCTGCATCCCCCGATTTTTTTCACTGGCAATAGCCATATCATTGCCATATCAGAAATCGTTCTCCGGCAAACTATTGGCAACATTGCACCCTTCATAGTTCATCCCCACTTCTTTATAGTTTATAATTACCCCACCGGAACCCCAAATGCCCGATGAATTTATCAGCTCTTAATATTTCTTTGCACAGGGAGCATATGCTCGATGGGGGCGATCATTGCTTCGCCGATGAAGAGCTTGATCTGTGAAGCAGCCTGACCCACAATGACACAATGTAGGATTATTGTTTGTTGAAAATTATACGTACAGTTGATTGTATATTTATAGCATATTCTCATCGCATGTTTCTTAGACAAAGAAAGTGAAGAACTTTGTGTATTCAAAGCTCAAGACTTGATTAGTTGTAAATGTTGCAGGATGAATAAAAAGTTGTTTGGGAGTGATTAACTCATTAACTTGTCGATAAAGTTATTTCCACAAAAACTGAAAGCAAAAATACCTTATACCTTATAACTGTTTCTCCATAACGATGTTCTATATATAAAATAATGGTAGAGAAAAGTAGAAATTGACATGTCAAGCTGAGTGAAATCACTTCCATTCAAAATAGAAGTTAAAATCTTAATAGCAGTGCATTGCCAAACACTCGTAAAATTTGGTCTTTAATTACTTCTTGGAATTGTATTTCATCCCCTAAAATGTAGGGATAACTCAACTAGTCAACTCTAAAGAGTGTGCTTGGATTGGTCATTGTTTGGGAGGTAACAATGGCGGATCCAGAAATTAGACTAGATGGGGGCACCATTGATCGGGTATCAAGACAGCGCATCTGAACATTTTTTTAATAGATTATTTAAAATTTAAAAAAATAATAAATTTTATTTCACATATTATTTATTGTAAAAAATTTTTAATAGGTAATGTGAAATTTTATTTTATTAAAAATTAATTATATTAACAAAATATGTTTTACTAAAAAAATTTAAATTTGACCTAATCAGATGGGTCACATTAATTTTTATTAGGGGCATAACAACATATATAGATAAAATAATTTTAAAAAAAATATCTTTAGCCTTATCATAAAAACTTAGTTGGGGACATTTGCTCCATACTCCAAACAAGTGGGTTCGCCACTGGCCTGGGAGGGAAGAAGAGGAAAGCCACATGGGTGAAGGACCCCCACCCTTCAAACAGGCCAATCCCCCAAGGTAATAGAGCTCATGTGGGCTGACCCAAGAGACTCCTACGATCCATACCCAGCCCATGCGGAAGCGATGGTCGTCCACGAAAACTCCCGGATCGAGGTCATCCAAATGTCCTACTGTGTCGCTCTTTTCTACGGAGTATAAAACAAGAGAGATGATCTCACAGTTTTGTTGCAACAAATGATTACAATAAATAAGAAAATGCCGATTATATGGTACAGTTGGATGTACCTTCTTTTTGGTAAGTCATAATAAATTTGCAATTAGAAGAACTTCATGTTATTTGAAAATGAGTACAACGTTATTTCAAAATGAAAATTATGATAAGTATGCTTTAGAAGAATGAACACTATAGTTGAAAATGAACATTCACTTGATTAAAAATGAATATTTATCAGGTGTACCTAGTTCTATATATAGTCAGGTATACGGTATACATTCTCATAAGAAAAATAGAAATGGAAAAATAAGAGTTATAGGGATTAGGGAGCATCATTTTCTTTGAAACAAACAACTCCTATTTCTCTTTCAAAAAAAGAAAACAACTCAGACTTCAAATTTAGAAATTACTAAATTAGTCATTAGCAAAAAAGTCACAAGCCTACAATTTGTGAAGAATAAAATGATTTCAAATAACAAAAAAAAGTAAAAACTAGAATTAACAAATGATAAGTTTGTGATTCTAACACTTTTTTTCAGTGAAACTAATAAAAAATCTAAAATGAAAGTAACAAAAAAAAATTTTATAGATAAAAATGTTAGCGCCCCATCTATTCTGTCATCGTGCCTGCGATCGGATTGCATAAAGGTGGAAAGCACGGTGCCCGTCATCATTTCTAATGAGCTACAAGCTTACAATGAAGTATTCGTATACAGAAAAGTGTTAAGATAGAACAACAGGGTCGTTGTAGTATAGTGGTAAGTATTCCCGCCTGTCACGCGGGTGACCCGGGTTCGATCCCCGGCAACGGCGATACTGCATTTTTTTTTCAACCTCGTCCTACAATATGTTTAGGACCATGCTACACTTACACCAAAAAAATATACCTCATTTGTACACCATAGGTTTGCACAAACATTTCGATGGTTTACACCGACACAAGTGTTGGTGCGTTAATAAAAATTCACACAGACACAAATGTTGGTGCATTTAACAAAAATTAGTTTTACACCAACACAACGTGTTGGTGCAAAACTGCGGGGTACAAATTGGGGTACAAACCTTGGGATACACATAGCATAATCCATATGTTTATTCAACTGCATCCGGCGCAATTTTTAAAACATTTAAATATTTAATTCCTTTCTTTTACTCCTTGTTTTTTGGGACATATTTTTGCATACGGCGTATTATTGTTTACAAAACGAATACTCCTCCCGTCTCACAAAACTTTTTTTTTTCATCCTTTACAAAAAAATCTTTCTCAGTTCTATTAAAAACTCACTTTTAACCTTACTAATTATTAATTTACGTATCACATCACATTTTTTTTACTATTAATCTACCCATTGTATATATTTTTACCCATCACATCCAATGTTTCACTATTAATCCACCCACTGCATCTACTTTTACCCATCTAATTTTTGTGATGACTTTCTAAAAATATCTTTGACGTGATGGGTAAAAGTAAGAGATGATGAGTAGATTATAAGTAAAAATGTATGATGTGATAGGTAAGATATGAAAAAGTAAGGGGTAAAAATAATTTTTTAATAGATAAAGAAACATCTTTTGGAGACAACAAAAAAATGAAAAGGGAAGATCTTTTAGGGACAGAGGGAGTAGACGATTTGAGAGGGAAATAGATGATAATTATTAGTGATGCTCTTAATTGGACAACTTTTCTCCTCGAGAGGGAGAAACATTTTTATTGGCCCATTACATTTATATATATTTTTCTTCTACACCAAGAGGAAGATACCGTGTAAAAAAAGAAAAAAAGTAGAAGAATAATTAGAGTGCTGTGAGAAAAAATTGAAGGAAAAAATGAAGTGACATTGAAAATAGATAACGTGAGAGGAGAATAGAGATGCATGAGTAATGATGGTCTAAGGATATTTACAATGTTATTTCAAGTCTTTTTAAAAATGTGTGAAAAGTCAGATTGGGAAGAATATGATTGTGTTGGACAATAATTATTTGAGCTAGCAAAAATAATTTTTCAAGGACTAGAAATTTTCAATTATCTAACAATTATTATGCAGGGCTCTTGACAATAATTTCAAAACTTTCTGTTTCGCATTATTTCTCTTTAGTAGAGATGTCTTGGGGTAGGAATTAAGGTGGGAATTTATAAAAGAGAAAACAAAATTGAGACATAAATTCTAGTCAAGTTCACACAACCAGCTGAATTTTAGTCTTAGGCAAACATGTGATGCCATTGTTCAAAATAATTGGATAAATTTTGTTTTTATTGAGCTAATTAATACTTCACTCATCAACAGTACTTCCTTTGTTTATCGTATCATTGGTGTTAATCTCGTGCTTTGCACTCGCGTCTTTCTAGGAAGGAAAGCTACATTTTTTTCTACTAAGGGTCTGTTTGGGAATAACGTTAGCGATTAGCGTTAGCGTTTTGAAAAAGCTATCTACGGGCAGTGTTTAGCGTTAGCGTTTTCAAAGTAATCTGCACCGTTAAAATTTTATCCAAAACGCTAACGCTAATGTCTAACGCTATTCCCAAACAGGCCCTAATTTGTGTCAACATACAAAAGACAAGGAAATGAGATGGCGAAGAAAAAGGAAAGGGGATGGCTAATTGTGTTTAAGAAATCACCCTAAATATATAGAAACAAAACATAGAGAAAAGAGTTGGCTAATTCAGGAGATGGCTAATTGCATTTTTTGATTTATTAATTATCTCTGCCACCTCATGTTGTCATCTCACATTTAGTTGTCTAAAAAGTTGAAACATCACCTCTGCCACTTGTAGCGTTTCAATTCTACCAAATATCACCTTCCTAGACATGTATAACCCCGATACTAGACTTATAAATAAAGACTCAGTACGTACAGCTAATATACTCTTGCGCCATTCGATCATCATATTCTCAAGCTCTGTGTTTCCTTGTTATTAGCTTACATTGCTCATTAATTTGATTCGACCTTCCGAGTCAGATCCTCTCTTAGAGTTTATTTCCATCACACATAATGATACTCCATCCGCCCGAAAATAAACTTCCCATTCTACGAATAAATATAACAGAGTTTAATCGTATCAAAAGCCTCAGCATCCATTCCATCAGTAGGGTATAATTGTCAAACAAATTTGAAATGAGAATA